CTAAAGGTGGTGAGCGCCAGTTAGCTAATGCTAAAGGTGGTTAGCGCCAGTTAGCTAATGCTAAAGGTGGTGAGCGCCAGTTAGCTAATGCTAAAGGTGGTGAGCGCCAGTTAGCTAATGCTAAAGGCGGTGAGCCCCAGTTAGCTAATGCTAAAGGTGGTGAGCGCCAGTTAGCTAATGCTAAAGGCGGTGAGCGCCAGTTAGCTAATGCTAAAGGTGGTTAGCGCTAGTTAGCTAATGCTAAAGGTGGTTAGCACTAGTTAGCTAATGCTAAAGGTGGTTAGCCCTAGTTCGTTAATGCTAAAGGTGGTTAGCGCCAGTTAGCTAATGCTAACAGCAGTTATCAGACACAAATAGCAGTTAGCATCAACTAGCTAGCACCAACCCATGTTATATGCATATTTTGTGTCATTCTTTTAAACTTTTTAGCCACTCTAACCCAGCATATTAGTCCCTTTAACCTAAATGTTGGGCAGAAAACTAAACACAGTATTCTGGGTCAAACACCACCAAAACTTTAACCCAGTTTTAGCACAGGCTGCAACAAGTTTTACAATTGTAATGGAAGTCTGAATAACTTTTTTTTAAACTGTGGCGGTTCTGAGGCGGTGTTTATTTAACTAAACAATCTCAGTCTTTATCCACTCGACTCAGCACTCTTTCAAAATGGTTTCACTCACCTACTGACTGGGAAGTTTCCCACTAACTACTGGTTTTTCCATCGCTGAAGCACAACTTTAATCCATGAGAGTTTCAAGGAAAATGACAAATCTTACCAAAAGATCATTTAGAAAAACAGAGTTTTTAAAAAATCATGAAAAATAACACTGACCGAGTTATTTAATTTTATTTTTATTTTTACCCTTGAACAGAATCAGATTTAAATTTTTTGGCCATGAGTTAACATTTGGTTTGTAACTCCACACGACTATTTGTAAATGTAATTTTATAGGATAAAAAAATGATGAAAGTTTGTAAAATCACATTAAAATTTTAAATTCAGTCAGTGTTTGAGAAAAAGCTGAGTCTTAATAAAGCTGCTGACAAACGGCGCTTGATTAAGTTATAATTTGACTCATTCTTGGACAAATAAAAATGTATAAACTCTGTCCCCCTGGTGCTTCACCTTCACCGCCCTAAAAAAATTAATTCTAGGTTCGCCACTGCACTCGGTTGTTAGAATCCGCCTCCTCGGAGCAGAAATATGATCCGTTTTTAAATAATAACAATAAAAATGACAAGTTTAAAAAAAAATTCCTAAAATCCCAACTTTTAATTCTAAACTTTAAGAAGGTAAACAACTATTTTGAAAGCTACAAATTCAGTGTTTTAATGAAAATACAGAAATCCAAGTCCTCAAACATGACTGGACACTTGCGTCCCCGTCCACCCTTCCAGGTCCCATCCACGCAGTTAAGCCGTCACTTTCATTCAAGGTTGTGAGTTATATAGAACATTGTCTACTCCCCAAAACCATAAAACCAACTTTATGGACCTCACGTGACTTTTCTCAGTCTGTAAGTAATATAGGCCTTTACAATCTTTGGTAAGGAGCTATTTTTTTACCAACTTCAGCCTATATACACCTGAAAAGCCAAAGACACTCATATTTTTCTGTTATTATTCCTCAAGGGGGGGGGATTTATTTTTATCAGCAAGATGTTTCATATTTTGGAAAGGGAGGTCAGAGGAGGTAAGAAAAAGTTTTCTCTTTCTCTCTCTGTTGAACTGAGACAGAAAATAAAAGCTTTGTGCGCGTCGCCTTTAAAGGTTAATCATTGATTTGAGCCAGCAGCCTCGTGCGTAAAAACAAATCCAACAAACGTCACATGAGAGAAACTTTATTTCCAAGCGCTATGAGTTCACTTACAAACACAAAAAAATAAAACAAGAAGCTCACATCACTGCCTAAATCCACAGAATAACCCTTATTTTGCACTAAAACTTCATCACATTGACAGGTTGAATACACTTGCATTGCTTGATATTAGTTCTAAACAATATTAATAATTATAATAATAATTATAATAATAATAAATGCACAGAATATGCTAGAGAGCTACACATTGGCTTGTTTTCTGAACGGATCTTGGCCACAGTCAAAAAGAGCAAAAGTTACACAGAAGCGCTTTACATTCAGTGGAGAGCAGCACATGGTTTGACTTGATCTTTCTTTAATTTTAACGAGTTTACTCCTGTTAGACCATCAAGAATAAAGAAACACGTTCAAGAGACAGAAAGAGAGAAAGAGCGACGGACAAGCTCCTCAAATATTTACACGTTTCCCCCCAAACTGGACATCTAAGCTACAACAACAGGAACTGAAAATCTGAACACCAGACTTTTCTATCACATGGCATGCTGGAAGGTGCTGCGCTTTTAGAGCTTTACACAACTCATTTCATCTTTTTTTTTTATTATTTTTTTAATTCCTCTAATTTTCCTGTAACATTTTAACCTCTTTGCCTGCACACACACACGCACGCACACAAAGTTATTCAGTTGTGGAAGGCGCTGCCTCCGGTTACGAGGCTCATGCTTTTCAGTTTATTGTCCTTCTTCCACTTCATCCTGCGGTTCTGAAACCAGATTTTGATCTGTCTCTCGGAAAGACAAAGGGCGTGGGCTATCTCTATCCTCCGCCGTCTGGTTAGGTACCTATTGAAGTGAAACTCTTTCTCCAGCTCTAGCGTCTGGTAGCGGGTGTACGCGGTTCGGGCCCTTTTCCCGTCAGGTCCGGTCATATCTACAATTTTTCAGAGAAACCCAGAAGATTAGCAACAAACCAAAATGGAAATGGATTTAGTTTTGTTTGAGGTCTTTTCTGTGTGGGATGAGTTGATGGAAGCGGAGGGGGGAGCATGCACCCATCACCGCCCTCAGCAGCAGCCTGTCTGCGGGAGTTTTACGCGCAGATTTCAGCCTCTCCGCAGCGGAACCAACCCAGAAACACTCAACAAACACAGCCGGTCCTGCGGCCAGCCACACCAGCTGCTCACTCATGCAACACCTGACAGATTAATGGCCCCCCCTCCAAAGAAAATATTATTACATATACCATGGCTTATGTGCAGTTTGCGCATCCACGGGAAAATTTGTGGCGTTTGGCAGTCGTTTGGTGTGGGGGTGGAGGAGGTGGCGTTGGGTTCCTGGTGCTGCTGCGCCCGGGAGCTGGAGCCTCCTGCCCCGCCGCCGCTGCTGTGCGCGCCCTCCTCGGTCTCGGTTCCGATCGTTCCGTCCTCTATCTCCGTGAAGTGCGCGCCGCCGCCTTTGCTCAGACCGCCCGGCGCCGAGGTCGCGCTCCGGTCAGCGGGGGGAGAGGAGGCGCCCTTCAGCTCCACCGGCAGCTCCCGACCAGCCGTGGCGCACGGCGGCGGCGGAACCGGCTCTGGGGAGGAGAGCGAGGAGCAGCTGGGCGTCTGTCTGTAGCGGGCGTCCGGCCCGAACCCGCGCGCCTCCTCCCGCACGGCACCGAAGTGGCCGCCACCGGTGTTGGCGCGGTTCACCGTTAGGTCCATGCCATTGTAGTTGTAGCCGAAAGACCCTGAGTGCATGGTGCCGGGGTCTCTGAAGGAGCCGCTCACTGCGCCGTTAGTCCCATAATTTAGTAACTGATAGTCGGAGCCATTTGGATAGCGCCCTGAGAACGAGTTTACAAAGTAAGAGCTCATTTGCTTGGATTTTTAAAGCCTCGATTTGTAGATCTTTGTCGCTATAATCCTGTGTGCTTGCACGATTTATGGACGCAATCATGAATTATAAGCAATGAAGCCCCTACTGTACTTTGCCAGGTATGCGGCCAAATATGGGCGCGCGTTCGGGAATCACGTGCCTTTGTTGACCAGTCGTAAATCCTCACTGATGACTTCAAGAGGTAATTCATGCTCCATGGTTACAAATGATGACGAAATAATGGTCGTTAGGCTCCAGTCAATGGTGCCTCCCCGCTGCGCGCCTGAGAGGCGCGCGCGGGCTGAGGGCGCCATCTTCCGGACAGAGATGGTACTGCTGCGCCGCGCGAAGTCATCCATCATTCATGTCGGGAAAAAAAGAAAACATGCCACAAAAAGGCTCAGGTAACACAAACTGTTGTCAGTCTGTGCCACGGAGAGGCCAACAGGAAATTATTTTACCTCCTTGTATGATTTTATCTCCTTATTGAACCGGAGAGGCGTCATAAATAATAATAATAATAATAATATAATTATTGAGGTTTTTGTTGCGCAGAAATGAGAGATTTTCCCACATTTACATCAAAAAGCCTTTATTTCATATGTACAATTCCCTAAACAAAATATTGCACAGGTATGAATTGAACACGTGGAGGAACAACAATAAATAACATGAAACATTTTCCCATTTTTTTGTACAAATTTTACTGTAAACAACAAGCCTAGAATCACAGAGTGACAGCTACACATACAGCTTTAATGTCATGGAGATTAAATAAAAATGAAACAAAACCAAAAGTCATGGCAGCAAACTAAACGCTGAGGTTTATTTACATGTTGGCGGATTGTTGCATAGTCCTCTAAATAAAGACACGAGCACGAGGACAAACAGAGGACAGGGGACGTGCAGACACTCAACAAAGTCTCTATTGTGGGTTTTTGCTGCACTTCAGATTATCTACAGAGAAATTACACGTCGTTTTATTTTAGCAGTGTGCACACAGACACAGCCCTCGTTTTTTTGTTGTTGTTGTTTTTTAGCTCTTTTTCTCCGCCTGCTCCTCCTCCTCGGGTGTCTTTGAGGGGTTCAGGAGTTTGTTCTCCTTTTTCCACTTCATCCTGCGGTTCTGGAACCAGATTTTGATCTGTCTCTCCGTCAGACACAGGGCGTGGGAGATCTCTATCCGGCGCCTCCTGGTCAGGTAGCGGTTAAAGTGGAACTCCTTCTCCAGCTCCAGAGTCTGGTACCGGGTGTAGGTCTGTCGGCCCCTGCGGCCACTGTTGCCAAATGGGCCTGTAGAAACAAGGAAGCAAATTAAATCAGTTAATAATTAAAAGGCTTCGTTTGAATTAAATTATAAGAACAAAATGAAACATTTAGCTTTTCTTTGAGTTTTAACATAAAAAAATCCAGATTTTAGTGTCAAGAATACATATTTCCTGTCTAATGTTTTGTTTAATTCCATATTTTATCTACTAATATTCAATTTAAAGTCATCATGGGTACGCAGACATCTCCCTGAGTGAATAACATCCCATCATATCATCAGACATGACAATAAAACCCACAATTTACGCAAATGACGCATCGTGTGCGTAAAATATGTAAAACGGCCCTGTGTGGCCAAATGGCTGTAATGTGTGCTGCTTTTTTCTTTTTTTATGTCATATCTGAACTGTTCATACAACAAATCCAGACTCAGGTGCTGTTAAAAATGCTGAATTTAGAAATTTGTTCAGCTCATAAAAATCTATAACGTATGAGAAAAGTTGCAGATAATTACATTTTCTGAGAAATGTTTGTATCCTTTCATTATTTTGTGTAAATATTCATTTCACAGCTTTTATATATAGGTAGAAAAAACTTACTGTGTGGTTTTAAACTTCATGTGCCACCATAAATGAAAATAATAAGGACGCATTATGCATAAAATCTGAAAATGGGCATTATTGTGATGTGTTTAGTCTTTGTATGTCCTGCTTGAAACGTTCACAACAAATGAATGACTCAGATTGTGCAACATCTGCTGTTGTGTGTTTATAATTCTGTTCAGCTAATAAAAAGGTGAGTTTTAATGACAGACTTTGCAGATAATTACATTTTCTGTTAAATGTTTGAGTCATTTTTGCACAAATACAGCCCTCATGTAGATATAAATCTTACTGGCCTCAACTGTTTATAGCACCTTACATGAGAATAAAATTAATAATTTAATGACGCGCCATGCATAATATATATACAAATATCCTTATTGTGGCCAAATGGGTATATAATTATGCCTTTTTCCCCCTTTTAGTGTTCACACAACATGGATGGATGAGTCAGACTGAGCTTCCTCTGGTGTTTTTATTATGATTTCTACGTTATGGGTTCTGGATTTACACTTTTGTTGTTTCGTCGTGTTTCTGCGATAAAATATGAAAGATCTCGACGTGACCCGGGCTGTGCAAGCTGAAGCTGATGCAGGCCCACTGTGTGTGTGCGCGCGTGCGGGTCGTGTAGCTCCAGTAATGATGTGTCCAAAAACAAAATTTAAAAATTAAAAATTTAAAAAAGGCGCACGAAGATCCGCGCGTAATCCGTTTAATCCAAAGCAAAGCTGAGCTCGTGTGATTGTGTTCGTGTCTCCAAAGTGCGTGAAATGTTCTGAGGAGCTCCTCAGCTGACAGCCTGCCCTCCTCTGCCTCACCCCCGCGTGACAACAACTCAGGAAAGGTTCGGACTCACCGGCGGAGCACGCGTTCATCCTCTGCATCCACGGGTAGATGAGGGTGGACGCCTTGTCGTCGATGCTGCTGCTCATGCTCACGCTCTGCTCCGCGCACTCCGCCTTGCGCTGCTGCTGCTCCTGGGACACGAACAGCGGCTGGTCGTCGCGGCTCGAGAAGGCGCACGAGCCCTCCGCGTCCTTGTAGAAAGTCCCCACCGGGTTGTAGTCGCAGGCGGCCCCGCCCGCGCGGCCGTACAGCGCGGCCGCGGTGCCCGTCTGCTGGTAGTAGGACGCGGGGTAAACCTTCTCCTGCATGTTGGCCGCGCCATACGTGGCCGCGCTGGAGTAGTGCCTCAACGGATCCGTGTATCCCGAGGAGTAGAGCGGTATCTGACCCAGGAGAGAGTCCTGTCCTCCCGGCAGAGACACGGGAAAAGTTGAGTTAACGAAATAGGAACTCATTGGGTGGACCACGGGGTGTATATACTCCGGAGGAATATGATTTGTTGTCTTTTATAGTCCAAGTGCTTTTGCCATTACTTTATCCGAGATTTGGTTTTTGCTGAAAGGGGGGCTGTGAGGTGCCACTGAATACAGAGGGGAAGTGTACCATCTGATCAACCTCTGGCCAATCACCGCCGTCTGTGTTTGCACTATTGCACCCATGGGGGGGCTCTTGTTGCGCACAGGAGTCCCCGGTGAATCGAAATGAAGCGCTCAAACCCGTCGGTTTTTACGCACGCTCACGCACCCAAATGCTTTGAAGTAAACACTTTGAATGATTAAAATCAAGAAAAAGAATCATGTTTTTGTTCCGTCCAGCCGCAGCGGAAACACACAAACTGCGCATCCGCTGCGTTCTCACAACGAACCCGCTTTAAAAACAAAACTTCATAACCAGAAACACTTCATGCACATTCTCTCACCCTTTCAAGGTGATTCAACTCCGACTGAGGACCAAAGGAAACGTGAGCAGCAGGGAGGACACGCGCGTGCACCCCCATCACCATCATCATCAGCATCATCACCTTAACAAGCAGAGATGAAGTGCGCAAAAAGAGACAGACTCAAAAGTCTCAGGTATCCTGACACTAAAATCAATCTTTACCAACACCTGAGTCATTATCAGTCCGCTTTTTTACATTATTAAGAACTTTATATTCATTAATAACACACTTATTTTACAATTTAACTCTTTCAGTACAACATTTACTTGAAGAGAAGAGAAGTGCCCAAAGTTGCATTTTAACCCTCAATTAAAACTGATTAAATGACAAACATTTACTTTGTTTTCTGGAAAACACTTACAGCACATTCACACAATAACCTGAAATTAAAGATGATTTTTAGCAAATTTGTTTGATTTTTATATCTAATTAGCGTTAGAAACAAAATAATTATGATAATATAGAAATAATAATTAAATGCTGCATTAAAGACTTAGGGAAGAACAGGAAGCAAGAATTTTGTTTTGCCTGCAGCTGTGAATTTGGAAACATTTGTTTTGGTTTTGCACAGAAGGAAAAAATGTTTTATGGAATAAAAAAATGACGCAAGGCCAAACAGGACAAAGCAAAGCGCCACAAACAGCAACACATGATCCATGATCCAAAGCAGAGGCTGCGTTGTAAAGATTTAATGGAAAAATTCAGAATAAGAACCGCAAAAAGAGGATTTTGTGACAAAAGAGACACAAATGTTGCAAAAACACACGAGAAAAGGCGCAACGAGAGGCTGCGCTGCGCACTCTCAATATAAAAGACATAGCGTGTTTTTATTTTATAATATGATGAAAAAAGATAAATTAAACACACAAATTATAAGAATAAAAGAATACAACTTTTACAATGAAAAATAAAATAGAATATAACAATAAAACGTATCGATAGGAAGAAAATAAACAGATTAGGCCGAATGGGAGTTAAAAACACGAGTCAGCGGCGCCGCAAGGCCTCGTCTGACCCTCATCTTCATCATCATCAAAGTCGAACTGTCTGGCCTGAGATCCAGACTCTGACTTGAGATCCAGACTCTGACTTGAGATCCAGCCTCACAGGACCAGAAACCCGCAGCAGGGCCTGAGATCCAGACTCTGACTTGAGATCCAGACTCTGCAGGGTCAGAAACCCGCAGTAAGGTTGTGCGCCCTCTCAGGGGTTAAACAGAGAAAGGAGAGGCTCTGCACTGCCTGTCCTTTAAATCGGATTTTCCTGATCCTCTAATGTAAACAGAAGGCCCGAAGTGACAGATCAGCAGCAGAGCAGCAGCAGAGCAGCAGCTCGGATCATCTCCGCTTCATCACAAACACGCTGCCCTCCTACCTTTGTTGATCATCCATCATTTCCGGCCTGGCTCCTCTCCCTCTCCCTCCAACATTTCCCACCTCGTTTTCCTGAAAAGTAATCCCTCCATTTACATCCAGGAGTGAGGCGATCCGTCATTTCCCATCAACATGGCCGCGCAGCCAGAGGCGCCGCGTTTGGAGCAACAAGACGCACGAGAGCGCTGCAATAAAACCAAAACAAAACCCCAGCAGCTGCAGGAAAAGTGCACGAGGCAGAAAAAGGTTTGTGTTCCCACAGTTTGGAGAATGAGCGCCGGGAAACAGCAGCTGTGTTATAACCTCGTGGGAAACAAGTTCCCATTTCTGCTGCCCACGTGACCGCCGGAGACCAATCCCCGAGCCGCGCGAGTCGTAAACTTCCAGCGCTAAAGTTGTAAATTTTCATAAAGCGCAGAGATTTCTGAGCTGCAGCCTCGGCTTCTGTTCGCCATTTTTATTCTCTTTAAAGCCCGAAAGCGTTGAAAGACGAGAGAAGGAGAGAATAAAGGTCTTTCTGCTCCAAGATGGCGCCAAAACCAGTTCTATCATGAATTACTTCATTCTGAGCGTGACTTCCTTCATTTTCTGTCTCCAGTTAAATCGAAAATGATCATAAATATAAAGCGCGGGTGATTAAAACTGTTTTTTAACGAATTAATGTACATTTAAAATGTAAAATATTACAAATAAAGTAAAAAAATGATCTTCAAATAGAAGAAACCTCTTCAAGAGCCTGAAAAATTCAGCTCCTGCAGCGTCGACACTCACAATAAAATATATAACAAAACAATCTTCTCCTTATTTTTGTTCCTTTAAAGTTTTATTTCCGTTTAGTTTTATTTTCAATGAACCTTCTCATTCAGTCTGCTGCTGCTTTCTTTGGTCAAAGAGGATTTCCGACATTTATAGACGCAATAAAACCATAAATTCCTGAAATGCAACTTTCTTTTTTTCTTGTGATTAAATCATAAAAAACAAAACAGGTCGTTCCTTTAAAACAGAACTCTGTTAGAAACAGTCCAGCTTTAGGAACAAGACTTTTTATTGATTTATTGAAGTCTTAGGCCGCATGTTTAAAGGTTTTTAAAGTGAAAACGAATAAATCCTAAAAATAAATAAAAAGATCATTGAATACAAAAAAATGTATGCAGCTGCAAATAATAAACAATTAAAATAACAATATTTAAAAAATTGTTTTCCTGTCCAGATTTAGAGGCTTGCAGGATTTCTGCACGGAATTAATCAAATGTTTATTAAAACTATTTAAAATTAAACCTTGTTCACCCTTTTAGCACAAAAATACAATAAAATAGAAATTATAATAATTAAATCTTTGATATAAATAAAATAATAAAGATAAAAGTCATCTTTGGAACTCACAGGTCTTGGATTAAATACATTTATTTATTTGAATAAACTTGCTTTTATTGTCAGAAAACAAAACAGAAATAACATTTGCCTTTTGAGCTAAAAAAAATAATTAAAAAATGCATTTTTCTACAACAAGCAAGTAAATTTCAGCAAAATGTACCTAAAATATAAAAATAAAGATTTATAAAACTGTATATTAAAGAAAAATGAATGTCTTGTTTTATTTATTTTGTCACAGCAATGAAAAAAAATCATTATTTTTTTCTTCAGTGCAAAAAATATTTTAATAACAGATTTTACAAACATTTTGTTGAGATAAGACTCTAAAAAAATACTCCGGTGATTATTTAACATTTAAAGAATTTATAAACGTTTTATTTTCCTTTAAAAACCAAATCATCATCGGATGCATTTTGATTTTCTTAAAATATTAAAATCTAAATTTTCAATCAGACGAGTCTTTTTTTATTTTGGCACTGGACGTAAATTCTCATAAAGTTTATTTGTGAATATTAAAAGGTTAAAAAAGCTTCATACAAAAACATAAAAATCAGAACAAACACGATCTTCACAGGCACAGAGGTTTCAGTTTTACTCAGTTTTCACAGATGAATTTCACTCCACTTCCACCCCTCAGGTGTCTCAAGAACCCTGAGAGACCTGCTTCAGGTCTGGATCTTGTTAGAGGTCTTCAGGGGTCGGTGGTCCGGCTCCTCAGAGCCCTTTTCCGTGCTGGGGGGCTCTGCGGGACGAGTAGTGAGATAATCCAGGCCTGCTGAGGATAGGGACGCGCGAGACGACGAACAGGCTCTGCAGGTCTGCGGGGTCGTGGGACCCTTTGTGGACCTGGTTTACGACGGGGATCCTGCCCCGGGACTTTGGGTCCACGTAGGAGCTTCTCCTGCCGTCCACAGAACCTAAAAAGAAACAGAGACAAACGAAACGAGCGAAACAAAACAGATGTTTTCTGTTTTTATTTTGAGGTTTAAAAGCAACAGTGCGTGTGACATCATGCCGTCACTGATGATGGAGATCTTAAAAAACAATTTGATTAATAAAACTTATTTCCACTCCTTTGTCAACTTTAATAATTATTTAAAAGTAATTTTGTTGTGGATTCCAACAGCAGCATCTTTCTGGTTCAATAAGGAATATAGTTTGTGCTCACCTGCACCCGGGTCCTGTTGGGTCCTGCTGGGCATTTCTCCAGGTCTGATCGGGCCCTCAGCCTCTGAGCGCAGGAAGTCGGACCTGTTCAGGCCCCTCCCGGCCCCCCTGGGCCTGAGAAGGTTCTGTTGAGTCGCGTTTGAGCAGAACTGCAGAAAAACAATAAAAAGGGGCCGTTTAAATTCTGAACGATAACCCGCTAAAACAGTCAAGCTTTATATTTCCATTAAACTTTGACAATAATCTAAAAAAACACTCGTTATTAATTAATTACCGGTTGTTTTTTGCTCCTGCATCAGAACCACCGCTGAATCTGGGTTTCGTTTCCAGTTTTACAGATTAAAGCATCAAATTTAAGTCTGAGCTGAGCAGGAAGCTTCAATTCTTGAAAAGACGTTTGTCATAAAAATTAAGTTATCATCAAAATAATAATAATTTAGAGAACGAGACCCGATCAGATAAAACGTTGATAAAAACGGTTGAGTTAGTGGCCATTTTACTTAAAGAAAAGATTTCTGTTATTTACTCGATAAAATACATAAAAATCAATAAGAATAAATAATAAATAAATAGGAAAAATTGTTTGGTTCTTTGAAAAATTTAAATTGTGAATTACAAATTTTTTTTCATTCAATTTTTTTGCTTTTATTTATTTGTTTCAAGGTTTCGTGTTTATTTCTGGATTCTGTTTAGTTATTCTGCTAAAGTTTGTTATATTTTACGTTCTTTTATTTTGTTTAGCATTTTGAAAAAACAACAACACACCGACCATCTGATTGATAATTTTATCATTTTTGGAAAAGATCAATTTGGCTGGAAGACGAACATAAATGTGAAACCGGCGCACAATCATACAAAACATGTTTTTTATTTAAAAATAAAATGAAAGGTAAAAACATTGAGCTCTTTATTTTAGAATAATTCCTCCTGAAGGAGGCAGGGCTGCCTCAGTTAAAATCATGGAGGAAAATTTTATTATTTTTTAAATTAAACTGATTTCTTGTGTTGTTATTGTTGTTGTTTACCTGCTGTACGGTCGGCACACTGGGCTGCTGCTGCTGCATTTGAGAGCACCACATCAAAGGACCCAGCTGGAATAAAAAACTGCTTTAGCTCTTGGGTTTATCAAGCATCAGGCGAAGATGAGAAGCTGCAGCTGTTCTTGGCCCTGCAGCCTCCTCCTACCTTCAGCTGCTCTGGTCTCTGCTGGGTCCTGCAGGTCTCACTGGCGTCCTGCAGGACCCCTTGTCCCTTTGTTTGACACGTCGGCAGCAGCTGCTGGATCCAGTTCACCACCCCCAGGTCCTCCAGCAGTTTCCTCCTCTGGAGCAGTGCGTCCATCCGCTCCTGCTCCTCGGAATCGTTCACTTCCTCCCCCTGGCACTGCTCCTCCTCTCCTGCGGTCTCTGGATCCACAGAGAGTTCAAACAGAGGCGCCTGCAGAGCAACCGAGACGTTTGGTTTGATTTGATTGCTCTCAGTGTTTGCAGCCAGCACAGTTTTATTTATGACAGATTAGCAGTTACTGTCAGCCGGTCACCTTGATGACACGGTTCGTTTTTCCTGCCTTGACAATAAAAGATATTTTCATATCCAATAAAAATTATCTTCTCTGTGTAATTTAAATAGTGTGTTAGCTCTGAAGGGTCAGGCAGGAGACGAGCCATCAGTCTGATGGGTTGGAGCAGTGTGACGCCCCCCTGTGGCTACCTGTGGACGCTGCGCCTCATCCACGCCATGCAGACTCCCAGGCCGAGGGTCAAAGGTCGGCCGAGCTGACTTTCCTCTTGGTCTAACTTTCTCCCCGGCTGTTTCTCCCTGCAGGTCCTTCCTCCTGATCATTTTCAGCTCGTTCTGCTCCTGCTTCAGACGCAGCTCCTGCAGCTGGTGCCTGAAAACACAAACAGACTTTAGCTCCTCTCCATCAACGACAAACAGACGCGATGAGAACTAAACCTCTAGAAGGTAAATGAAAATAGTCCCGTGGTTTGGTAAAGACAAAATATATAAAAAATAAAGAGAAAAACACCAATTAAATCAGTGATTTTTTTGGTTTTGAAATGGTCAAAACAGCAGATTTCGTACTATAAAATAACACTAAAATGAGCTCGCTGCTGCACTAAAGTTATAAACTACTATTAAAATTAATCAATAAATAAAATAATACTCTTAAAGAAATGCATATTGTGCTCTGACCTTCATGTCAGAGTTTTAGACTAAGATCATCCTATGAATTGACAACGTTGAAGCTGATCGTGTTAAACCTTAAAAATAACACCGGGATCTGTTCGAGCTCAGGGTATGTGTTGTGAATGACTCCCAGCTACTACCACACCAACTTTAACTTGATATCTTCAAATACTGAGCTATCAAAGCAAATGAAAACAGTCACATTCTTGTGTTTTCTAATGTCACTTGGCTGTGACAGCCATTTTGAATTGGCTCGACTCCAAAATTAATAAGTTACGTCACAAAGATCAAACTCAAGGCCCCAGGGCCAGAAATGGCCCTTCTTACTAATGTTTCTGGGCCAGGAGATAAAATTTTAGAAACGGACACTCAATCTCTGACATATCAAGTCTCATAAAATTACCTTTAAAATGTGTTTGAGTGTCTTTTTTTATTTAATCACCAAGTTGTCTCATACATGTCCTGTACCAGTCTAACATGTCCTGCTGTCCTCATACATGGCCTGCTGTCCTCATACATGTCCTGCTGTCCTCATACATGTCCTGCTGTCCTCATACATGTCCTGCTGTCCTCATACATGTCCTGTATCAGTCTAACATACTTTCTGCCACTCCAGATTCCCTCATGTAACACCACACCTCCTCCCTCGGCACTCTGTCAGATGCTTTTTCTAAAGACACAATGGAGTTCTTTCTGACCCTCTCTGTTCTTCTCCATCAGCATCCTCAAAGCAAAGATGGTGTCTGTGATTTTCTTTCTCATCATGAAACCATACTGCTGCTCACAGATAGTCACCTCTCGTCTAAGTCTTGCTTCCACAACTCTCCCAGATCTTCATCATGTGACTCATCAACTTAATTCTCCTGTAGTTGCTACAACCCTGTACATCACCCTTGTTCTTAAAAATGGCCACCAGAACACTTCTTCTCCATTCCTCAGGCATTTTCTCACCCTCAAATATGCCATTGAATATTTGAATCAAAAACCTCACTGCCATCTCTCCAAGACATTTCCAAACCTCCACTGGTCATCAGGTCCTACTGCCTTCCCCATCTTCATTCTTTTCAGAGCTTTCCAGACTTCACCCTCACCAATCTTTCCCACTTCCTGGTCCACAGTTTCTATGACCTCTACTCTTCTTTCTCTTTCATTCTCTTCATTCATTAGCTCCTCAAAGTACTCCTTCCATCTTCTTGTCACACTCTCCTCACTTGTTAGAACATTACAGTTCATATCTTTAATAAGCCAAACCTGCTGCACATCCTTTCCAGCCTGATCCTTCTGTCTTGCCAATCAGTACAAGTCCTTCTCACCCTCTTTAGTGTCCAGTCTCCCATACAACTCATCATACACCTTCTGCTTTGTCTTATCTACCTCCGTCTTTGCTCTACGTCCCATCTCCTTATCTTCCTGTCTCCTCTCTTCAGTCCTCTCACTGTCATATTTCTTCTTGGCTAACCTCTTTCTTTGAACGGCGTCCTGCACTTCACTATTCCACCACCAGGTTTCCTTATCATCCATTCTCTGTCCAGATGACACACCAAGTACCTTCCTACCTGTCTCTCTAATTACTGTTGCTGTAGTATTGGTCTTCTTCTCTGATTTTACTCTTTTTCTCTTCTTCACAACAACAGTCATTCTACACACAACCATCCGATGCTGTCTGGCCACGCTCTCCCCTGTCACAACCGTACAGTCTCCAATCTCCCTCAGGTTTCCTCGTCTACACAGGATGCAGTCTACCTGGGGCGGCTGTGGCTGAGTTGTTAGAGCAGGGGTTCGACTCCACCAGCAGTCACGTGCCGAAGTGTCCCTGGGCAAGACGTTGAACCCCTCATAGCCTCTGATGTGTGTCCCATCGGTGTATGACTGTGACCTAAAAGCACTGATTAGTCCCTTTAAAATGATTTGCTCAATTATCTTTGTAGAGATCTAGTAGAGAGCTGTATGAATGGGTAAATGAGGCACAGATTGTGTTGTAAAGCGCTTCGAGTGTCTTGATAAGACAGAAGGGTGCTATATAAATACAGTCCATACAGTCCATTTACCTGCGTACTCCTTCCTCCACTCTTATACTGTAGGTCACTCTATGTTCCTCCCTCTTTTGGAAATATGTGTTGACTACAGCCATTTCCATTCTCTTGGTGAAATCCACCACCATCTGTCCTTCCTGGTTTCTTTCCTTGACACCAAACCTACCCATCACTTCCTCATCCTCTCTGTTTCCTTCACCAACATGCCCATTCAGGTCTGCTCCCATCACCACTCTCTACTCCTGGGAATACTCTCTATCACTTCATCCAGATCTTTAAAAAATGTATCTTTCTCCTCCTCATCACATCCAACTGTGGAACATCACCCTATCTGACACTCTCTTCACCTCTACTACATTCTTTGTCAGCTCCTCCTTCAGGACCACCGCTACTCCATTTCTCTTTCTATCTACACCATGGTAAAACAGTTTGAACCCTGCTCCAAGGCTGCGAGCCTTGCTGCCCTTCCACTTGGTCTCTTGTACATATAAAACATCTACCTTCCTTCTCAGCATCATATCAGCCAGCTCTCTACCTTTGCCTGTCATTGTCTCCACATTTAGAGTGTCCACCCTCAGTCCTACATTCTTGACTTTCCTCTTCTCCCTTTGTCTCCTGACACGTTTCCCTCCTCGTGGTCTTCGACTAACAGCAGCACAATTTCCCCCTACACCCCGTTCGTTTGTCAACAGCACCGGTGGCGGTCGTTGTTAACCTGGGCCTCGACCGATCCGGTATGGTCTCGCTTAGACTCACATATTAATTTTGGCAAAAGTGTTTTACATCGGATGCCAGTCCTGACTTAACCTTCACCATTTACCCGGGCTTGGGACAAGAGTTACACTGACTTGTGCTCCTTATTTGCTGGATTACTGAACTGACATATTATATTTGAAAATTAAGGTCAAGTTATAATTTTTTTAAATAAATGTTAATTTTGGCCCCCTGTGTAAAGAAATTTGACAGCCTATGTTGAAGATGTACATTCCATACTTCTTGAAAGTTTAATAAAATTCATCCACTGTGCCAAGAAAGAGTTTGCTAACAAAATAAAAAAAACAGTAGTTAATCACAGTAGCTAAAAGCTAATGGTAGCTGAGGACTGGCTAAAATCTTAAAGGTATGCTACCTGGCACACTCCTGTCTGGCTTTGGATGCTGCTGTCTCATGGAACAGGGAGCTGCTGTGTTTGAAGTACTGGTCGTATTTTTCGCCCCCCTCTCTGGGGTAGATCCTTTTGAAGCCCCTCAGGTGATTGGCCTCGTACTTCTCCATCTGCTCCGCCGTAGCTGCCTGGCTCTGCCGCAGCTCCTCTGACCTGCCGGTGAAACGCACACACACACTGACACACAAACCTACAAAAGTGTGTGTGTTTGACCTTCGGGCGTCATTTACCCACCGGTCCTCTCTTCTGCGGATCTGCTGCAGCCTGTCCTTCACCATGCGCCTCTCCTCCTTGGTGATCCTGCGACGGTCGCAGGCGTCCAGGTTGATGAGGACCAGCGTGTCGTAGAGCAGCGCGTCCTTCACCTCGCGGTCCAGCTGAGAGTCCGTGGTAAAACTCGGGGAGTGATTCACCTGAGCTCGCGCAAACAGATTATACCTTAAACTTAATTAGAAACTGATGCTTTAAGGCTAAATAATGTTCAGAGCCTCCACATTTGAGGTGAAATCAGGTGTTCAAGTCCTGCTCAGATTCTTTCTAGAACTCAGGGATTGAAAACTAAAAGCTGCTTCTCTTAACGATGTCCTGAATGTTAAGGTGTACAAAGGTTTGTCTCAGGTTAGCTGAATGCAGGTTTAGCATAGACATCATTGTTTTCCTTCTGTACGTTGTTTGCAATCTAACTACTTCTGAATACTTCGTGTAGTTTTAGTCATATATCAGAAGGTTCAGCTCTTTCAGGAGATGGCTGCTCTGACTCTTTTTTTTATTTACAAATATTTTCTCATTGAAAGGTATTGGGAGCTTTTCAATTCCTTAATAAATAATCTTTTTACAATTTTCAGTATATTTTTATAATTTTGTTTTTAGCTGCTATTCTTTTTTTTACTTTTAGCTACATTTTTGCTACACTTAACTTTTATCTAAACTTTTACTTTTTTAGCTCGTGTTTGGCTAATTTAGCTACCACTCTGCTACTTTTAGTGGCCCTTTTGTAACTTTTTAGCTTAGTCTGTTGCTACTTTTAGCTAAGTTTTGATTGTGGCTACCATTGTGTTTTAGCTTTTAGCTAGTCTTTTACTGCTTTTAGCTAGTGTTTTGCTACTTTTAGGTTTCAGCTTCTGTTCTGCATCTTTCAACTTTTTGCTAACCTTTCATACTTTTAGTTTTTAGCTACATAATCTTATACAGTACAGCTTTTAGCTAGTGTTTTGCTACTTTTAGCTTTTAGCAAATGTTCTGCATCTTTTAAACTTCAGCTAGCCTTTCATACTTTTAGCTAGTCTTTTACTGCTACTAGCTAGTGTTTTGGTCAAGGTCAAGGTTCTTTATTGTCATTTGCATCACACGTGGTACATGAGGTGGAATGAAATTGTATACACAAGGTCCCAGGTACATCCAACAAAAGTATAAATTGTAAAAGAAAAACAGTAATAAGATCTAAGATATGAACTAAGAAATACACTAAACTAAGAATATGCGAAACACGTAATAGTACAAAAATAATACGCTGAACAACGGCAGCACGAACATGAGTCTGTGTGAGCAGATGAGTACGAATGAATGAATGAATGAATGAATACTACTGTTTTTTTGGCTACTTTTACTTACAGTTCTGTAATTTAAACTTTGTTACTATTCTGCTGCTTGAAAATTTTAGCTATGTTTTTGCTACTTTAGGTTTTATCAAGCTTTTTCATTTATTTTTAAATAGCCTATTGCTAATTTTAGCATCTAGCTAACAGTTTCTCCATTTTAGCTTGTGTTTTGATAACTTTAGTTTCAACAGCTCAGTTTCAGCTTGTCTGTGGTTAAATAAAAATAAAGAAAATTATGTAAACACTAAATATTTATTGAACTGAGGTATTTTATTAGCTGAACAAACATGTTGGTGTAAGATAGTGAAAAACTAAGTTCAAACCTATTTGGATAAATTATATTTTTATTGTACATGCGTGCCTTGTGTCCTGGTTTATGGCTGAAAGTGACCGGACCGGTCTGGGTTCTCACCTCCAGCAGCCAGGGTTTGAGTCGGCGGTCCAGCAGCACGTCGAAGCCGAGGATCTCGAAGCAGGCGCTGCCGGCGGTCTGGTTGGGAAAACAGGTGTGGTAACTGTGTTTGAGGATGGGGTGGGCGGATATCAGCGTCTTTATGATGATGTCCTCGATGTCGCTCCACATCTTCTCTGTGTTGCAGCTGATGGACTCCAGGAGCTTGTTGAGGCTGGACAGTTTTCTGTAGATCAAAAATCTAAATGAAGTTGCCGTGAATATGATTCTTTATGAAAAACACAACTTCTAACGTCTGTTTTTACCGTTTGCTGCCGACGTCCTCATCACGGACAAAGTTCTCACTGTTCTTGTTGATGGAGTAGTTGGTCAGATGCATGCACACATTGTCCTAATGTTGGGAAAAAGGGTTTATTTAAGGTTTATGCTAACCAAGCATGCATTTATGTTATCTGTCACAAGAACAGATATTATATAGTGAACAAAACTGGAATAATACATTTTACAAAACACACACACGTACCTCTAAATGTCTTTTACAACATTTTCTTTAAGCAGTATTTGAACAAAGGAGTATTTGTTTGACCTTCAAAGATCTGAGTTTTTCTGGTTTCTTTACGTTACACAGTTTAAAAAATATTAAAAATATCTCTACTCACAATGAAAATCTGGAAAATTAATCATGGTGACATACAAAAAATTAAAAACAACATAAACAACAAAAACAACATTATAACTACTTTGTCCTAATTTTATGATAACAGAGATGAACTTCATGCTCTTATTTTCACGCTTTCATTCTTCATAAAATATGTTATAATACTAATACTACTAATTAGTCCAAGGCAGGAATTATTTTATTGTTTCACACAATGATAAATAAAAAATTAAATTGTTGACAGCAGCAACAAAGAAAAGGTATTTCAAGAGATTTTTTAAGCGCACTTTGGATTTTGTAACTTTTGCTTAAACAAAAAAATCCAGCATCTCTCTGCGTTTGACTAAAATCCAGTATTTTATTTATTTTTTACCTATACATAAAATAAAACCCAAAACAACAAAAGAATAAATTAACAATGAAGCATGAAAGAAATGAATGCGAGCTCAGCTCTTACCACGTTGCCTTGTGTCGGCTCGGTGTACTTTGTGGTGCAGAAGCGAGCCAGGCCCTCCTTGAACATGAAGATGCTGAACGGGTCACATGACGTCACCAACACGTAGACCCGCAGGTCGAACTTGTACCCATCAATGATGAAAGGCTGCACACCATAAAGGACACGTGTAAACTTGGAGCGCCGCATGTTAAACGTGGTGCTGGTCAGAACCTCACCTTGGACACGTACACCTGGCAGATCATGTGTTCTCCTGGTTGGATATTTTTACCAGATTTGGTGATGAAGATGCCTTTCCCTTGACAGCCCATGTCTGGCTTACAGATGTAGGTTTTACGTTTTTTGGCTCTGGTGAACGCTTGGAAGTCACTGTAACTGTAACCAAATCAACAGATCATAACATGCGACAAAAATAACTAGAAGCACTGAATGACTTTAAGTTAAAGCTAAAAGAAGCAGAACACTAGCTAAAAGCTAAAAGGAACAAAACATTGAATAAAACAGTTAAAAGTAGCAACCACTAGCAAAAAACACATTATTTAAAAGGATAAAACACAAGGTAAAAGCACAGTTAAAAGTTATGGGTGGAAAACTAAAAGCAGCAAAGAGTTAGTTTAAATAGCAAAAACTAGCTGGAAGATAAAAGTAACAAAAGGCTAACTAGAAGATTTTTTAAAAAGTAAAAGGAGTAAAGCATGAGTTAAAAGCTAAAAGTCCTAAAACCCTTACTAAAAGTTATTGGTGGCAAAAGCTTAATTAAATATAGCAAAAGGTTTATTTAAAGAAGCAAAAAACTAAAAGTAACAAAAGGCTAATAAAAAGCTAAAGTTAAACAATTTTAACTAAAATGGAAAAATGGCAAAAGCTAAAACGTTTTATTGGCGGTAAAAGAGTTCAAAGCTGTCTAAAAGTAGTAAAATATAAACTAGAAGCTAAAAGCATCAACAGTAAAAGCTAAAAGTAACAAAGCATAACATTGGTGTTTTACATTGTTAGTGTTTAGCTTATATCTTAGATGTTTTAGCGAACCGTCTGGTGTTTGTTTGGTGTATATCTTAGATCCTTATTTACAGTTTGTTTTTATAGTTTATATGTTTGCTATTTTTTAGTATAACTGGGACATAATTTCATTCCACCTTATGTACCACATGTGATGGAAACGACAATAAAGTCGACTTGAACTTGATAAGCTAAAATGAGCATAAGTTTAGATGGAAGCTAAAAGTAGTAAAAAGCTAATTATAAAAGCTAAAAGCAACATAAAAAGACAAAAAAGAAGAGTTTTCTGAAAGAGGTTTCAGAGAATCGGTGTATTCTAAAGAACTGAAGACATTGTATCCTGTGGGGGAAACATCAGTAGAAAAAGAGTAAATATTTGTAAAAGTTTGTGCTGACTCAGCATTCAGGCAAGTGAAACTGTGAAAGCAGGAGCAGACTGACTCTGCAGGAAGGCACCACGTTCTGGGGAAGATGTTGTAGTCTTTGGGGAAAAGTTTCAGCATCCGGTTCAAGTTTCTCGCCAGCGAGTCTTTGCGGCAGATTTCACTCATCCCTGGGAAATGGTTGATTTTCTGTGAAGACAAACACATTTACAGCGAGAGACGACCGCGGCCGTTCGTATCTGTGATTGTGTTCAGGTCGAACTCGTTTTCAAAGAGGAGCGTTTGGGTCACGACCTGCTGAACTGAAGAACCATTCAGCCGAGCTGAGCCGTAAAAACTGTTACAACTTTTCGTTTTATGTCTTTGCAGCACAAAAATCACTGAATTCAGCTTCAGAGGTGTTTCCTGCTGAGGGCAGTGAGACGTGTAGGTGTGGACAGTCTGACTCGGACACCTGGTAACGCTTCATGTCCCTAACCCGGTCCAGAGACACCGAGCAGTCGGTCCAGAACAGCGTCCAGTCTTCGTCCTCCATCGTCTCGCTGAGACCGTATCTACGAGCCGCTCGCCGCACTGAGACAAGTCAAACATCAAATAACTCGGTGAGACTTTTTATTATTTAAATTTTGTTCTACAAGGAAACAAAACACTTTTTTATGGCTTATGTTTGTTTCTGTTTTTATTCCTTAAATCCACACCAAAAGAAGTGCATGTAATTTTAAAAAGTGCTCAGGAACACGAACAAACTGTTCAATTAAATTCACCCCAACATTATAAAACTGTCTCAGTATAGAGCTCTTTATGCTTGAAGAGATTGTTAAAAAAAACAATGGTAAAAGAGAAAATAAAATATCAATAAATGTTGATTTCTAAGCCTAAAAATATTTAAAAAATAGGCATTTTATAATGTTTGTAGTTTTTCCTAAGTAGTTTGTTCTAACTAGAATGCTTCAAAAATAAATATACTACCATCAACAATTTCCTGCGGGATCAATAAAGTTCTATCTGATCTTATCTTATCTTATCTTATCTCAGCTTATCTTATCTTATCTTAGCTTATCTTATCTTGGCTTATCTTATCTTATCTTATCTTATCTTAGCTCAGCTTATCTTATCTTAGCTCAGCTTATCTTATCTTATCTCAGCTTATCTTATCTTATCTCAGCTTATCTTATCTTGGCTTATCTTATCTTATCTTATCTTATCTTAGCTCAGCTTATCTTATCTTAGCTTATCTTATCTTAGCTCAGCTTATCTTATCTTATCTTAGCTCAGCTTAGCTTATCTTATCTTGGCTTATCTTATCTTATCTTATCTTATCT